GACATCAACAAACACGGCAGAGAGGAGTAAGGGTTTAGGAAAAGACTCCAGCAGCAACCTGGACTTGCTGGTTTCGCGCAAATTAGCGGGGCAGGGAAGTTGGCTTTCAGGGACCCCTTGAGGGCTCTTCCAAATAAAAAATAAAATTAAAAATTAAAAATTTAAAAAGCGGAAGCCCCTTTTTTTCTGGGAAGAGGTTAGCGTCACAGATTCACTTCCGCCTCTGTGGCTAGGGCAGGAAAAAAAGAGATCTGCCGAAACCCGGGATCGAACCAGGGACCTTTAGATCTTCAGTCTAACGCTCTCCCAACTGAGCTATTTCGGCAGCCGATACCGCAGCTCGCTGTTTCTGCCCTCCCTGTCATTTCTGAGCTCCGCTCTTCGTTCCCGGTCCCGCCCTGGTGACCGCGGCGCGCCCCGCCCTCTGCCGTTCCACTACCCTGTGCGCTGGTCCTTTCCCGGCACTCAAGGCCGCCGCCCCCGGCAAGGTCCCGGGCCCGAGGGCTCATTGTGCTTTCTTGTGCCTCGTCCTACGTCCTTGCTTGTCCCCCCAGCCACAACGACTGTCCAGGAGGGAGGGAGACCAGTGCCTCGGCGCCTAGAACCGTGCCCGGCACTCGGTGCGCGCTTCATTAATGTTTGATGATGAATATCCGAGCGAAAGAACGGAACACCCTCACCTGCTCGCCCACTGCCAAAAGGAACAGGATCAACTCTCTATGCAGGGGTGGCGGTGGGGGTCGGGGTGCTTCCGGCCCAGCGAGCAGGAGGCAACTTCCACCCGGACCGGCTGCCGCCTGATTCACACCCGCCTCCACACGCGGGCGCCACACCTGTGACCTCGACACACCCGTGCCCTGGTGCGCTCTCAGCCGGGGTGCGCTCCCCACCCTTCCGAGGCAGTGGGTGGGTGTGGGGGGAAGTGGGGAGCGGGGCGGGGTCCGTCTTAGTGTGAGGTCACCTGGTGCTTGTTGATCACCTTCTGACGGTATGTGTGGTTCACCCACAAACAATAAGCAAGTGGTGGCACGGAGTATCGGGGTGGGAACAGGCACGGGGACGGCGAGACCTGTGGACCCAGCGCCAGCCACGCTAGGAGGGGCGGACGCACATGCGGGCGGGCGAACAGCTCGTTCAAAGGAAGGCCTTGAGGCTGAACCCAGAAAGTCAGTCGCGGACGAGACGGCAGAGGGGACCTGGCAAGGACTGGCCCGTGCGGAGGCCGGATCTTGTGTCCTGGAAGGCGAGGGGGGGATGGTACTACGGATGGAACCTGCGGCTTTTGCTCGGAGCTACACCCCAATCCTTTTAAGGTTTGAGACCAGATCTCACTAAATTGTCCAGGCTGGGTGAAACTCGTGGTCCTCCTGCCTCAGCCTCCCCTAGTGCTGAGATTACAGGAGTGCGCCGGCCCGCCAGGCTCTTGGTTATTTTTCAGTTTTTTGTATTAAGATGACAGCCCACGGCATCACCACATAGACAGCTCCGTGGGATTGGGTGGACTCGCAGTGCACGGTGACCCCCTCCGCCGCCAGCGTGGGAGTTTCTGCCCCCGAAAGGGAGGCCTGGCACCCATCACCCTTGCCCTGTCTCCCCAGCCCGGGCCCCAGGCATCTACTTCTTGTCTTTAGGGCACAGAAAGAAAACACACACGCGCACACACGCGCGCACACATGCGGGCACGCATAGAGACACGGACACGCAGGCACACAGACGCGCGCACACGCACGACGGGCTTGCAGACTTCATGGGCTGAAGTGGCGTTTTCCTCCCATTTAGGTACGGCAGGAGCAGACTTCTCCCCACATTTCCTCTGCACGCGATGTTCTGAAAACACGGTTTGCCCCCTCCTGCAAGGCCTTGCCTGCCAGTCGTGGCTGGCGGCGCCTTCGTGCGGATCCGAAGGGCCGAAGGGCAGGACGAGGCGGACCGCAGCACGCCGCAGGAAGGCGTCTTCCAGCCGCGCCGTCCGGGGTCCGGATCGCCGCGGGCCCTAGGACGGCGAGGAAACCCGCCGAGGCCGCGAGCCAGCGGGCAACCCGGGCGCGCCCAGCAAGCACGTTCGCGTAGCTTGTTCAGACTAAGTGTGCAGCACGTTCTCAGCATCGAACGAGGCGGGCCGGGGGGGTGGTGCGCGGGAGCGGGATGACGCGCGGGAGCGCTCGGCCGGCCGCAGCAGGCACCGGTGAGCGTCCTCGGGCACCTCCACCTCGGGCGGAATCCGCGAACCAAAACGCAGCGCAAAAGGAGCGCGCGGCCTCCCCGTCGGGGAATCGAACCCCGGTCTCCCGCGTGACAGGCGGGGATACTCACCACTATACTAACGAGGAC